TTTAAAATAATTTAAGTGATCTCAAATTAAAATTTATAGATTGCTCAAGGACTATTCCAATCAAGCATTTAGTTTTACTGCTTGCTTCGAAATTAATATTCAATCAAAAATGAAGGGTTACATAATATTTTATTTCAAAATTCAAATTATTACCAAAATCTTAAATCTTGTATAATTATATCTACGTGATTCTCATCTTCTTGACCCTGACTCTTACTGAGAATAAACTTTTTAGTTGTAAAATTGCTAACAAAAATTACTGGTGTGACTGACTGCTGATGACAATAATAATATTACCTGAATACAAAAAAGTTAATAATTTTCTTTCTTTATGGGTGATGCGGCGAAGCTAAGCAAACTTAATGTGGATGATAATGAGGATTTGAAAATTAACTGTGGCAAGACGCGTCGGCAATGGCTTGCTTCACGTCCGTTTTTAAATTTCAACAATTTTTATAGTAATTATGTATTCACATAATATAATGTTATCAGTGCACAAAACATTCATCAATTCTATATCATGCTTAATACACCATACGCACGTCAACTTTTACGTTATCCGTGATTCATTTATTTCACTCGTCATTACACAAAACTATTATAATGGTTGATGCTATTTTAGCATATAAAATCTCGGCTGGATCAGCTGCAAAAGGAGGTCAATTCCCATGGGCTGTAGCATTAACGGTCATCAATGAGGAACAAAATTACTGTGGTGGATCGATCATCTCAAAACGACACATTCTTACCGCAGCACATTGCGTCCTGAAATTCGAAAATTATCAATTACCCTGCACGTTGGTTATATCATAAAATTATATCAAGTTTAATCAATAATTTACTGCATTCGTCTACTTTACAACAGTAATCCACTTCAGATTTGCTACAAATCTGGATGACATAACTCAAATTGCAATACGATATGGCGGAGTATGCTTACGAAGCCATTCTCCAGCATGTGATGGACCGTTATGCATGACAGCTAGAATTCGTAAAATTGCTATCCACAAAAGGTATGTTGGACCAGTTTTTTAAAATTAGACCTTCACTGAATTAAATTTCAAACTTTTAGACTGATCAGTATCATCATTTTAATTTATAGTAATACTATGCAATATAAAAAAAAGTTTCATTCGAGAACTTTTCAAATTCAATAAAGAGTTGATAAAATATTCACAGAAAATGGAGTAAAAATTATGAAAAAATTTTTTTTAGTTTCCTGGATGGAGGTTGTCTAGATGGGCATGATTTCGCAATCGTTGAAATGGAAACTGATTTGATGGTAAATTAAATCAATAATATCGCTAAAATTTAATCATATCTCCTCTCTGATTAAGAAAAACCAAGAAAATACTTTTAGTATAATTGAAGTATTTCCAAAAATCATATTTCGTTTACTCAGTCTGTTCTCTCACTTAATTAACCACTCTTTCCCGGCATACCTGACTTATTGTGATTTTACTACATAGTATTCACCTCAGTCACTTGAACTAGTCATCCTTTTTTAGTTTGGTACAGCCACTTCTGCAATATGCTTACCCAATTCAACTTTCAATCTAGACTCTGCTGAGAATCTTGTTGATTATGGATTTGGTGAGAATGAACGTGAGTCAATATCAACCATTCAGTTAACTGTAAAAATTCAAAACTTCGAAAACCCAAAACTTGAAAACAAATAAAGAAGCAATCTTATATTTATTAAATCTTCACCTGAAAGCGATATTACTAACACTACTATTATTACTACAATTGAAAATAATGATAATAAAAGAAATCATTGGAAATGCTCCTTCAGGCATATAACAATTTCAGATGGAGAAAAAATGTCGAGGTTGAATTATGGAAGTGCAAAAATTACTGGCGTTGCAAAAGAGAAAGATTTCATTCAAGCTGGGCCAATTTATAAGTCAGAAAATAAAACCGTTCATCATGGCATTTGTTTTGTAAGCCAGTTACTTCAATTAATTATTAGCAGTTTAATTTTGCTAATTACTACAGGAGAATTACGAATCCAATATTTATTAGTGATATTTTCCCTCAATGAAGATTCCAATACATTTATCATCCTAATAAATCGACCCTTTGAACTTGCTA